TATATAATTGAGATAAATATGAAGAACTGAAAAACCTTAGATGTAACAAGAAAACCACAACATAATAACATAAAAGTAACATGAAAACAACCATAACAACATACAAAGTAACATGAAAAAACCATAACAATCCAGAAAATAACAAACCTCAACATAAAAAAAATCAACAGACACATAATGAATGAAAATAATTTTCATATACTTCCTCTAAAAACTCAAGCCGATCGTTCAAGGAGTGCGAATCGAAGGCTAATAATCGTCATAAAAATCGTAAAAACACACCAAGCCTGAAAAATAGAAAATTATTAAAAATTGTCCCTACCGATTGAACCCAATAATGCCCCGTCGTTGAGCCGTAATGACGACGAGCAACCGGAGGTAGTAGATCCTTTTATGACGATTTGCTATTCAAACCTTGCACGCCCATTCCAAACACGCTGACGTCTGGAATTTGGAATCTGAGCAGTGAGAATTAGATTAGGGATGCGGATTGGGATGAAAATAAATTGGGATGCGGATTTGATGAAAAAATTTGGAAAAATTAGATTAAGGGAAATCTATAAATTGGAAGAAGAATAAGAATCGAAAGAGAAGAAAAAGAATGAAAATGGAAGAATGAAATAAAAAGAGAAGAAGAAGAAATTAGAAGAAGAAGAAAACGAGATGGAGAAAAAATTAGATCTAGGAGAAAGATAAGATGAGATTTATAAAAGGTTAAATAAGAATTGAAAAATAAAAATAAAAAATAAAAAAAAATAATAACTGATATTTGGAGTATAAATGAAAATCAAAAAGAGTGTATTTGACTTAATAATAAAGGGGTGCAGTTATGTAAAAACTTTTTTCAGAAGGATAGCTGGCGTCAATATTTCGGTTCACAATTCACAAATCAAATAACCCTGTACAATATTTGTTCTTATGTTCACTCTTTATTTATTTTAATATTAATATGTTCTTATTTTTTTAATTTAGTACTTAATGAAAAAAAATTAAAATAGTTGCATAATTTACATTACATATATTAAAAAAATGTTTTTTTTTTCCTGTAATGGCGAGCCCAGCCCCTTTAGGCCCGCCATTTGGCGGGCCTATAAAATGCCAACCTAACCCACCTGTTTGGCGGGCGGGCCGGCCCGCGGGCTCAGGACCGTTTTGACAAGTTTAATTATGCACGCGCGCAATCACTTCCAAAAACCAGAAAAATGAGAAATTGAAGTATACATGCGACTTTAATTTTTTTTTTTAATTGAAAATAAGACATACTAGATAAATTAAAAATATCATTAATGTTAATATTAAAATAAAAATACCAAAATTCAAAATTTTTCATTCTCTATAAATAGATACCACATTTGATAGGTTTTTGAACATAATTAATTTTTTTTAGTAATCAATTCATTATACTTGCATAAGGAAAACATGTTACATAATAAGATGAATATATTATCAAATAAGATGAACATGTTACGGATTGCAGAATGAAATAATAAATGTTCATCTTATTTTATAACATGTTCATCTCATTTTGTAACATGTTCATCTTATTTTACAACATGTTCATCTTATTGTGTAAATATGTAACATATTCATCATAATATGAAACATGTTCATCTTATTATGAATTTGCGTCTTCATCTTCCAATAAAATAAATTAATTGTGTAAAGTGATAAATTAATTGTGTTATAAAACCTATCAAATGTGGTCTCTATTTGTAAAGAATGAAAAATTATGAATTTTAATATTTTTATTTTAATTTTTTAATATAATATATAAATGATAATTTAATTTATATAATATGATATATAAAATTCATTATCCATAGAAATGTGACACATGTCCCATTTAGAGAAAAAAAATTACCCCACGCGTTTTTTTGAAGAATTGTATTACACAAATGTCTTGGCACATTTAATTATTTGCGCAACACAGTTGACCTTGTTTTCCGGAGGCCCGCGGAGCTGGGCCGGGCCGTTAACCGTATTTTCGGCATGTCTATTTGGAGTGGGCTATATTCTTAGTGGAGCTATGACCAAAAATTTCTAGCCACCTCACCTCAATAAATTAGTTCACTATATTGCTCACTTTTGAAAATTAGTCCGTTGTTTTAACTCTCAGGTACAAATAATCCGTTAATCACAACGCCTAGGATTAAGTTGTTACCATTGCATGATAAATTTTTACAGCTACCGTGTGATATGTAATTACTTAAACAGTGGAATTACTCGAATGAATCTACAGGAAAAATCCCAATGGAGGAAGTATACAACTCTATACAATCTACTTTTCACTGAACACCGAAAACCGAAGACGAAAGGTTGGATCCTACCCGTGGCCGTGGGTAGTGCCCCTACGGGCTTTTAGTCATCAGATCACATATACTCGAATGCGTTTATACTGATTAGATGACTAAAATCTCGTGGGGACGCTATCCAAATAGAATTTTCCGACCACAAACACCATATAGTCGAGGGAAAGAAGAAACATATAGTACACCAAAAATATAAAATGTACAAACAACAAAATATTATATGCTTATTTTCTCTTTTCTCTGGTGTATGTGTTTATTGTGTGACAACATTGAGCAAAGAAACCCTGGTATTAATCAAGCTCCTAAACACCTTCTCCCCACAACCTTCAATCTCCATAATCCGATCCTCCATCTCTTGCATCGTCTTGGAAGCCATCTTCACCTCCTCTTCCCCCCTCAATTTCCTCGATTTCTCCAAACTCATCTCCTCGAACTCCCGAATACCCCCTTCAACTCTCCCATTCTTCGCTTTCGCCCCAAAAACCAGTCCCGAAGGCCTCTTGAACGCCGACGAGCCCGAAAGCCCGCTGAACAACGCAGCCGATACCACACACGTCACCCCAAGCACGCTCTCAATAACCTCAACCAGGTCTGCCTCGTCGTCGTACGGCGACAATTTACCGATGGGAGCGTGGTAGTTTGGGGAGAGGCTGCCGATTTCCTTTGCGATCCGGCTTAGATTCTTCAGGCGTGACGCGAACTCGCGGCCGTCCTTCCTGCAGACGGAGATCTGCGCCGCTGAGAGATCGTCCTTGAGGCGCAGGGCGAGGGCCTGGAAGGTCCCGTACAGGTCGACGAGGCGGAGGAAGTGGTCGAGGAGCCTCTCGATCTGCGGGGCGCGGAGGGAGTCGCGCGTCTGGGGGAGGTGGAGGAGGTCGTCGAGGGAGTCGTGGAGGGAGCCCAGGCGGCGGAGGGAGCCGCAGAGGGAGGCGGAGGTGAGGGGGGCGGCGGAGCAGGAGCGGAGGGCGGCGATGTCGTCGCAGAGGTGGGAGATGATGGGGTGGGAGCTGCAGGGGAGGCTGGCGGATCTGACGTGGAGGGCCTTGCGCGGCCGGGCGGAGGGGGACGGAGGGTTAGGGAAGGAGAGTGATCGCCGGAAGCTGGCAACCATTTTTGGTGCCATTGTTATTAGAATGAATGAATGAATTGAGGTCAAATTTTTTTTTGAAAATATATAAAGGGGGGCAGGGCAGGCGCGGGACGCGTAGAGCAATTAAGGAGTGGGGGCGCACGAGGTGTTTAGGGGGGCTGGACCTGGATCACCGCGAATAAATGAGGCTGTTGGAAATCATTTTAAATTTTGCATATTTCAATTTTTGCAAAAATAAATTAATAAAATTAATCTGATGGTAAATAAATATTTAAAAAACACACATCTCTCTTAGGGTGTCTCCAATGGTTAGCTATTTAGCTAGCTATTATGACGTGGACATGGGAAAAGTAAGAGAGAGAGTAGTCACTAGCTACTAACAAATAGCTTATCTATTTCACGTAGCCCAATATTATGTGAGAGGAGTATGTAGGTCCAATAGTGTAAAATAGTTATTTTTCTTATCTCTCACATCCATGTCAGCTGACTATATAGCTAGTAATAACTATTACCATTGGAGATGCCCTTATATCTTATACAAACGAGTTTGGGCAGTTGTCGTCGCGACACGTGTCCAATTTCGACCCTTCCGGTGGTCGACACGTGTCCAGTTCTATTTACAATTTTGCCATTCATTTTGCTATTTCAATTACATTTTGTGGACTATATGTGGTCTTTTTTGTTCTCCCCTTATTACTTTATTGCCATTGAGTGGCTTCCAACACAATTTATTGGTGAATTTAATTTGTCTGTACTTTTTTCCAGAATTTCGGGTCAACACAACCTTTTTTCGAGAAATTCCCGCACACGCAAGTTGGATGGAGACGGGAGCAGGTAAAATTCCTCATTACAAACACAACCCAACCAAATTACTCTCATTCATCATAATTCTAAAAAAAAAAAGTAGAAAGACGATGCGGA